TCTATGGACATAAAATCAGTTTTGATGTGGACATCTTAACGTCTTTGACCCAAGTACAAAGTAAATATATTTTCCTTTAATTTCATAGATTGGTACCTGACATGCAAATGCAAACCCTTCCATTTATAAATTGTTTTAGTATTTTTCAGTATTTAAAAATACTGAAAAAGTACACAGGAATACTATGGTGTCCAAAAAGCCATGAAAATGCCATGGTACCATGTCCAGAAACCTCAGTAATGTGATGTTGAGCTGCAGTGTGTCTTGTGTCTGGGTCCGCTGGCGTTCCTGAGTGCAGGGCTTTATGGGTCTCTAATGAGCCGTACTGGAGCTATTGTTCATATTGTTGATGTGTCGAGACACTGAGGGTTTCCGACTCTGACCGCAGGGTCGTCTCTCTGGTTTTCTTTGACCTCATATGTGTAAGTGTGTGTTTGTGCGCGAGTGAACACCGATTACACGGCTTCACACGCCACATCTGAGAAGTGCTGAGCTCAGCGATATCCAGCGCGGTCGTGTCTGATTGTTGGGTTTATGTAGATTTAGTTTAATGAAGGGTTACAGTATAACAGGTTTAATAACTTTTTTCTTAAAAATAACTGAACATTTAAATGCAATAAAGCAATACAGAAAAATGTATAAAGTTAAAAGTTTTACACAGATTAAAGTGCAAAAGAACCCTTTACAATAAGACCTCATTAGTTAACCTTAGTTAATGCATTAACATTCACAATGAGCAATAGCTACATTTACTACAGAAGTTATTAATCTTTGTTTAAAAAAACACAAGTCTTAGTTCATGTTAGCTCATTAAATAACACAGTTGCAACTTTCGATTTTAACAACGTGTTATTAAATATTGTAATTACCTAAGATTAATGAATGTTCAGAAGAATTTTCATTGGCAGTTTATGTTAACTAATAAATTAACTAATGTTAACTAATGAAGCCCTAATGTAAAGTGTGACCGAACAATAAAGAATCAAAACACTTTCAAACAATAGCTAGGGCATGTTGTAGTCCAGATTAAAATGTAAAAAAAGATAATTATGTATAAAAATATTTTTATTTTATGTATTATTTTATATAACATAATTTTATTTTAATTATTTTTTAAATTATATTAAATAATTACATATATATATAATAGCTAATTTAGTAAATTTATCTATTAAAACTGGCGAGTTTCCACAAAATTTTAAAACGGCTATGGTGACCCCCGTTTTTAAGTCTGGGGAGACTGATGAGGTGTGTAATTATAGACCTATCTCAATTGTTCCAGTAATTTCCAAAGTTTTAGAAAAGATTTTGATCAATTAATGAATTATTTGGAAATAAATCATCTGTTGAACCCTAAGCTATTTGGATTTCGGACAAAGTATTCAACAGAAATGGCTATATGTCATTTTATAGATAACATAAAAAGTAGTTTGGATCAAGGAAAAGTAGTGGGAGCAGTATTTTTAGACTTTACAAAGGCTTTTGATACTGTGAATCATGAAGTACTCATAAATAAATTGAAACAAATGAACTTTTCTCAACAAGCTCTAAACTGGTTCAAATCATACCTGGATTGTAGACAGCAGTGTGTTAAAATTAATGGTGTGAAGTCATCACTTCAAAAATGCAAACTGGGTGTACCACAAGGTTCAATATTAGGTCCGTTGCTCTTCTGTTTGTATATAAATGATTTACCTGAAAGTTGCAAGGAGGTTGGTTGTCAAATGTATGCAGGTGACACAATTATTTATGTAACAGCAGAAACTTCTCATATGGCTGCAGAAATGTTAACCAGGCAACTGGTCTGTGTTTCCCAGTGGCTGCAGGATAACTGTTTAACTTTAAATTACAACAAAACAGTTTCAATGTGTTTTTCATTAAAGAACAAAGCACTGGATGTATTTAAAATCAAAATTGACCAAAAGGAAATCAAGGAAGTGAGTGAATTTAAATATTTAGGTGTTATAGTAGACTCTAAGCTTAAGTTGATGCCCATATTAAGAAAATATCTAAGACTATTAAGACAAATTTGAACTGTTTTCGTATGATAAGACCATGTATATCTCTTAAAGCAGCTCAAGTGTTTATGCATGCTATGATATTATCACATATGACCTATTATGCGATAATTTGGGGTCAAGCTTCTCAATCAGTTGCTAAGCCTGTAATGTCACTATACAAACAAACTTTAAAAGTAATGGACCAGAAACCAATGAAATGGCATCATTGTCAAATTCTTCAAAAGTATAATTTGTTAAGTTTTGATAATCTTTTAAAGTTTTCATTTATAAAAACAGTATTTAAGTGTATACATGGCCTTGCCCCAGATGTAGTCTGTCAGTTGATACAAAGACCAGAGGGGGGCAGTAAGTGGGAATTGTAGAGTTCGGAGATGCAGAACTACTGTGGGTCAATCATCCTTTTCATTTAATTGAATTGAATTCATTTACCTAAATTCATTACAGAGTTATGTGCCGTCTAGAAGCTTGCGTTCTGCAAGTGAACGGCGTATTATTGTGCCATCTAAAAGAGGCACAAAATCACTTTCACAGACTTTTACATTAACTGTTCCCTCCTGGTGGAATAACCTGCCCAAATCAATCCCAGCAGCTGAGTCCTTAGCCATCTTCAAGAAACGACTAAAAACACATCTATTCCACCTTTATTTGACCCTCTAACTCTAACACTTTCTATTCTATTTTAATTCTACTTTATCTATATTTATCTTTTTTATTTTTTATTCTTTATTTTAAAAAACTACAAAAAACAAACACTAGCTTTCTATTTTTTTTATTCCATCTACTTGTTTTTCTTTGTTTGTGTGTGTGTGTATATGTGTGTGTATGTAATTTATTCCTGTGATGCAAAGCAGAATTTTCTGCATCATTACACCAGTATTCAGTGTCACATGATCTTTCAGAAATCATTACAATTTGATTTGATGCTCAAGAAACATTTCTGATTATCAATGTTGAAACAGTTGTGCTGCTTCATATTTTGTGGAAATGGTGATACATTTTATTTTTCAGGATTTTTTGATCAATAGAAAGTTCAATGAATAGCATTTATTTGCAATTATCAAATATGTTTATTAAATTGAATAAAGCATTTATTAAATAGAAATATTTTGTAACATTTTAAATGTCTTCACTCACTTTTCATCACTTTAATGTATGATGAATAAAATCATTAATTTCTCTCTCTTTTTTTAAATCTTACCACAAATGTTTGTGCACAAAAATGTTAAGCAGCAAAAACTGTTTTTAACATTGATAACAATAAATAGTAAATGTTTCTTGATCAGCAAATCTGCATATTAGAATGATTTCTGAAGATCATGTGACACTGAAGACTGGAGTAATGATGCTGAAAATACAGCTTTGATCACAGAAATAAATTACATTTTACAATATATTACAATAGAAAACAGCTGTTTTACATTATAATAATATTTCACAATTTTACAGTATTTATGATCAAATAAATACAGCCTTGGTGAGCAGAAGAGACGTCTTACAAAAGCATAAAAAATATTATAGATCTAAAACGTTTGGATGGTAGTGTATCTGTTTCAACTATTATATTTATATGTATTTCAGTTTTAGTTTAGTACTTCAAATTTTGTGATTCAACTTTTAAGTTTTTCATGTAATATATATATATATTAGGGCTGTCAAAATTAACGCATTAATAATGCGTTAGCGCAAATTAATTTTAACGGCACTAATTTTATTAACGCAGCGCGCATTTTCTGTTTGACCCGTGGCCTAACCCGTAGTTGGAGAAATTAAGATGCACAGTGTTGCCAACTTAGCGACTTTGTCGTTAGAGTTAGCGACTTTTCAGACCCCTTTAGCGACTTTTTTTTCTTTTTCGAAAAAGCGCCTAGCGACAAATCTTTAGGGCTTGCCCAAACCTTATTTAGTTTCTGAGACTCGTCTCTCTTTCCCGCTGCGCACACAGCTCTTTCTCTGCGTCCGATCTGTTCAGCGAGCGGCGGAGAGGAGCAGCGCTTTTAGTTAAAACAGATACTCTGTTGCTTCTCTAATTTTACATGCAAGTATAGCCGAAATCACAGCACAGCTATTGTCTTTATCTTATGTGTATTTGATTTTTAATCAGACGACGGCTCGATTATAAATCAGGATTTTTGTTCAGATTATCATCTTGGAAGAGAGAGCTGGTTCGTGGTCTTAATGGGCCGCGTTTCAGTCACTGTTTCATATTCATTTTGCATGTTCAGAAGAAGTGAGCTTCCCTGTCCTGCAAATAATGTAAACAGGCTTGTGTAAGTATTGCTCAGTGCAAATAAAGAGAAGTAATGGGAACCTGGATTTTCTATGTTCTTTTTTCATGTGTCTAATAGACATGAACAAGTTCTTTGAAACATGTCTAGTCTTCATGCTCTATGCTAACTATGGTTTCACTAATAATAAACATACATTTGCATAAAGCATCCATATTTGTTCATGCCCATGTTGATTAGTGTTAAAAACTTGAAAAGTATTAATTTAAGGTACATTTAGAACAGATAAAAATGTGCGATTAAGTTGCGATTAATAACTCATGACAATCATGCGATTAATCGCGATTAAATATTTTAGGGTGTACTCACACTAAGAACGGTTGCCTTGAACCGAGCCCGAGCGCGATTAAGAACCAGAGCCATTGTGTAGTGTAGTAGTTACAGTTTAACAGATATTCACATAGAAAACAGCTGTTTTAAATTGTAAAAATATTTCACTATTTTTACTGTATTTTTTGTCAAATAAATGCAGCCTCAGTGAGCAGAAGAGACTTCATTAAAAACATGAAAAACGTACCAATCTAAAATTTTTGAATGGTCGTACATCTGTTTCTACTATTACATTTATATCTATTTCAGTTTTAGTTTAATACATTCATTTATTTATTTAAGCTTTTTAATAGTTTTATTTTAATAGCTGTTAATAGCAGCACTGATAATGCAAACATGTTGTTTTCTCATCCGGACGTGTGTGTGTGTGTGTGTGTGTGTGTGTGCAGATGTGGAGCTGCTGTCGATGGAGAGCACTAAAGCGAGCTGCTGGGTGAATCACAACCTCCGTGCGCACGAGGAGCAGTGGAAGGAGGACGACTGCACCTTCTGTCAGTGTGTGGACGGAGAGCCGCACTGCACCGCCATGGCCTGCAAACAGAGCTGCCAGAACCCTGTTAAGATCCCTGGAGAGTGCTGCCCCTTCTGTGAGGGTACGAACACGCGTTCCACTTACGTGTGCTCAACAGCGTCGAGCAGCAGGCGTCTGCAGACTACAGAAGCTTTGCCTTTTACTGCTCCAAGCAGCCAAATGGAAGCCACCTGCTGGCCTTAATTATACGTTATTATTTTCTGGAAGAATTATTAGTCACACCTCTTTAGCTCTGGACGTGCCAATTGATGCTCGTTGCACATGTGGCATCTTAGCGTGTTGCTCTCGACAAAAGCACCTTCGTTGAGGTTCGACGGCTGGGTTTGATTTCGAGGTGACAAAAGAAGTCAGAAAAGCAGTTTTTTGTAGTTTGTTCACGCTAAGGCGATTTTAAACACAAACGGTTCGCCACGGCTGTCAGATGAGGAAGATCGCTGCACTGTAATTGCAGCTGTGTTTATGTGTAATCAATGCAAACCGGACGCTTCTGTTTGCAGTTAAACTGCACTGTACTGTATGCGTTTGGAGCGAACGACCCCAGGAGCGGCTCACATGATCGGAGCCAAACAACAGATGACTCTGAAGTTTCACTTCGGCACGCAGTTCTTGCAACACGCACCAGTTGAGCACATGAGGATGCATTTAACAGACACATCTGAGTTTGCATCATAGCTATAAATCTGAGAAAAGATTCGATGTGAAATCAGTCTCTTTAAATCCTTAATTTATGCTCCTTTTTGTGAATCTAATCAGTGCATGCTGTTCTGAAGAAAAATTGCTGTATAATTAAAATATAGGAGCTATTGGATAATAAACTAGCGGTGGGTGGTGTGACCAAAATATTATTTCCCAGTATGAGTTGTTTAAATGTCAGAAACAATATATATTCCCAGCTAACAGGGAATGTTCTGAAAAAGTTCTTTTAAAGTTTTAAAGGTTCTTTTAAAGTAAACAAACGTTCTTCCAGTAGCATTAATAGAATGTTTTTTCAGAGTTATTGAGTCTTTAATAATGTTCTCAAAATGTTATTTATGCATCGTTCATGGAAACATTGTAGTTGACCCTTCGTCTAACATTTTTAAATGTAACTACTTGTTTCAGAACGTTCAGAGAACATTCAAACGTGACGATGTTTGCAAAATGATCAAATGCTAAACATTCCATTAATGTTTGCATAACAAAAGAAATAAAAGTTTTAAAAACAGCATTTTGTACATTCAGAGAATATTCAGAAATAGTTTTCATAACATAATGGACATATTAGAATTTTTTTTTTTTAGCTGGGATCATGATACAGTTATTTTTGTTAAAAATTCAATTAAAAAACAATTTCTATAACACACAACCATGTGGGAATGCCCATTTTTAAAATAATTTTAATAATTATATTCTAAGAATCTTGAAAAATCAAATGTATCATGGTTTCCACAAAAATATGAAAAAGACTGGAGTAGTGATGCTGAAAATTCAGCTTTGCATCACAGGAATAAATTACAATTTACAATATGTTACCATAGAAAACAGCTATTTTAAATTGTAATAATATTTCAGAATTTTACTGTTTTTATTGTATTTTTGATCAAATAAATGCAGCCATGGTGAGCATAAAAACGTGCTTTGTAAACCATAAACCAACTGCAGATATTTCATGCACTTCAGTCTGCAGATTTTAGCTTTCTGAGATGTTTGCTGTTTTTCATCTTTCTGATAGCGATGTATATTGCTGAAAAAAAAAAAAACAGGAACTAACTAACGTTCTCTTCTAGAGCCGTCATATGAGACGGTGAGCCCGCTGCTCTGCCCACCGTTGGAAAACTGCTCTCTCTCTGGGCACGACTGCCCATTCGGCTTCCAGCAAGACCCTAGCGGCTGTCTGCTGTGCCAGTGTGTCAGCAGTGAGTGCAAAGACACACACACACACACATACAAACCCATGAGAACTGTGTTGCGTGCAAACCGCTCCAAAATACTCTCAAGTCTGTGTTTGAGAAAGTGCCAACGGCCCGCAACACAAGTAAACACTGACTCTGGACATACAGAGCGTGTCCAGGAAATAATGATCTCAGACACAAATCCACCTCACAAATCTGCACCATCACGACTGAAAGTAATCTGAAAGTTTTTCCCATGTGAATGGAAGTCAGTATCAGAGGTCAGTAGGACGTTTGGGCATCACGGAGCTCATGGGATTGTGAACTGCTCCGAATCATTAAGTGTAGTTCTAAGCATGCAAGAGTCTGGGGTTTCTTCACCACTAGCAGCATCGAAAGTTTTGCAAAAAATAACTAGATTTGAATTTAGCAAGATATATGCATGAAACAAAAGTACACACGTTTAACAGCTTTTACTTTAGCCGACTTTCTGTGTTCTCTAATGACAGGGTTAAAATAATGTTAACCTAGGGTTAAATATGGCATCAGCACAGGGTTAAAATAGTGTTAAACCAAGGCTAAATGTAGTGCTAAACTCTGTCTAAACACAAGTGTGAGATGTTGTTTAAAGGTGAAGTCATCATGGGGTTAAAATAATGTTGACTTGGGGTTAAAAGTGACCTCAGTGCAGGGTTAAAATAGTGTTATCCCAGGGTTAAATGTAGTGCTAATCTCTGTCTTGATAAACATGTGAGATGTTGTTTAACCCAGGGTTAAAATTTATGTCATCATGGGGTTAAAATAATGATTAAAATTACATTGACCCAGGGTTAAACAAGGTGCTAAACTCCGTGTAAATAGAAGGATGACATACAAATTAGTTTGACCTAAGTTTGACTGTTCACTCATCATCTTTTGTATGTAAATGACTGTGTTTTTCAGATGAAACCTGTCCTGATGTGCCCACGTACTGCTCTCTGGAGTGTCCCCTGGGTTATGAGAAAGACAACTATGGTTGTGAAGTGTGTGAATGTAGTGTATCTGCACCAAAATGCCGCCCCATGACCTGCAGCAAGACGTGCCCTTATGGATACATGTAAGTTTATATCTCTGTTCATGACCAGTAACATTAATTCTAAGAAATATAATTACTGCATGTATTCATAAACTTTTCACGTGAGGTAAGCATTGAGTAAGGTTATGATTAGTTAGCTGTTGCTAATTAACTAGCAGAGGGTAAGGTTAAATAACTCTCAGAAGTAAAGGCTGTTACCTCTTTCAGTGTGAAATTTAAAATATATATATTTAACCCAGGGTTAAAGTAATATTAGGGTTAAAATACTGTTAGCCTAGGGTTAAATGCGGTGCTAACCTCTTAAGTGTAAAAAAGTGATGTCAGTGGAGGGCTAAAATAGTTAACCCAGAGTTAAATGTGACCTAATCACTGAATTAAAATAGGGTAAAAGGTAGTGCTAACCTCTGTCTAAATACAAGTGTAAAACTTTGTGCTGATGTTACTTTTAAACCTGGGTTAAGCAAAGTTAACCTTTTAGCATTCCTGTAAAATTTGCCTAAAACGCCTAAAAAAAGCATACCCAAAGTAAATTGCATGCTGTTCTTGAACCATTTGGAGTATATCCATGGTTTTGGTCTCTTTTGAAAGGTGACACTCTGAGTTTTGTTCCTAAACAGAACAAACTTCAGAATCACTGTAAGTCTTACTGGTATTGAGTAATAGAACTTTGAACACACTGAAAAAGGAGAAGAAGACAAGAACATTCCACCTACATTTTTTTGTAAACAGATGCCTGCAGCTGACTATAGCTGGGAGCTATTAGCTGGAAAACACAATGGGATCACAGCATGAAGCCTTGTTGGCAGTCTGATAAAGACACTGATTGTACCTGCCATGCTGATTGTATCTTAAAATGGCTTGAATCATTCGAAAAACAAGAATCTCAGCTTTCCAAAGATGTGACATGTTTAGCTTTTTTTTGAGTTGTTGTATGTCACAAAGTTAACCCTCAAAAACACGCAGTGTTCCGCGGGCGGTATAGTGGAACGCTAATACGTTAAAATAGTTTTAACCCGGGGTTCACATGACCTCATCACGGGGTTAAATTAGTTTATAAGTAACCTTATCAGTGGGTTAAAGTAATGTTAACCACTAAAAGTAAAATTGACCCCATCAAAGGTCTAAAATAATTTTAACCAAGGGTTAAAAGTTACCTCATTACTGAGTTAAAATAGTGTTAACCCAGGGTTAAAAATGACATCAGCACAAGGTTAAAATAGTGTTAATCCAGGGTTAAATGTAGTGCTAACCTTTGTTTAAATACAAGTGTGAAATGATGTTTAACACAGGGTTAAAAGTGGCATCATCATGGGGTTAAAATAATGTTGACGCAGGGTTAAAAGCAATGCAAACCTTTGTCTAAATAGAAGTGTGAAACATTGTTTAACCCAGCATTGAAAGTGACCTAATCACAGGGTTAAGATAATGTTAACCCAAGGTTAAAAGTGACTTCACTAGATTAAAATAATGATAACCCAGGGTTAAAAGTGACCATATCACAGGGTAAAAATAGTGTTAACCCAGGGTTAAAAGTGACATTATCATGGGGTTAAAACAATGTTGACCCATGGTTAAACACAGTGCTAACCTCTGCCTAAATGGAAGTTTGAAAAATTGTTTAACCCATGGTTAAAAGTAATTAAAATAATGATAACCCGAATTACAATGCTACGTCCTGTCTAAATGCAAGTGTAAAATATTGTTTAACCCAGGGTTAAAAATGACCTTATCACAGGGTTAAATTAATGTTTACTCAGTGTTAAACAGCGTGACCCCCAGTAATCCGTAACCCTGGTCAAACATCTGGGCGCTTTGCTCTCCTCATAAGGAGTCAGTGCTTTCATTTCAAAACCATCCCTTCGTTTCAGCACAACGATCAAATGCACATTGACACAAAAGCGTCTGTATGTGAGCATGTGGTGTGATTCCGCTGGTATCTGAACCACGAGCCCCCAGTGGAGGATGGAGCAGATAGATTTTCACTGGAAACCCGGTGTCTGAGCTCCCTCAGGGGGGCCGGAGGGTTTCCTGGATCACTTCAGAAGAAGTTTGAGTCCTCTGAGCCCTGTCTCTCCATCTCACTCTGGAGGAAATCCCTGTTTATAGTGGCTCATGTTGAGATCATCTTCTGCTCCGAGTGTGTTTGATTCTAGCGTTTATTGCTAGTAAGATAAACAGATGCAACAAAGATCTGGAAACAAACCCAAAGATCATGAGCATTTGAATGAAGATGACCCTCTTCTGTTTCTAAATTATCTGCAGCTGGTTGAAACAAACCCCTTAAGTTCAGAAAGCCATTAGAGATAATGTGTTTATAATTAAAGGTTTTCTTAGCTCTTGTGCATTTAATTTTGTCCAAATCAGGCCCGATGTGATTACAATAGTGATGATTTAAGATAACCACATTGTGCACTTTAAATCCAATTACATATTACCATCAAAATAAGGGAATTTTTAAAGTGAACATATAAAAGCTATAAAATGCACATTTGTATGTCTGTTTTAGGTGCAGTAGTATGTAATATATAATGCAACACATGAACAATTTGTGGCATGATTTGCTAAAGCGCTTTGTTTTCATGTATGCGTAGTTCTAAACTTTAAAAGTTATTAAGAATTCATCATTCGTCTTATTAATTCTTATTAATTCAGGTGGGATGGGTTACAAAAAGCAACAGTGTGAATGGGAAAATATATTTAAATATTATTTAAAATAAAAAATTTTAATATTATGAATATTTTTGTTAATGTCACTCTACTCTCTGCAATATTTCATTTGTGTAAAAGAAATCCAAAATTTTTTGTATGTTTAACCCTGTTAACCCAGGGTTAAAAATGGCCCCATCACAGGATTAAGCTAATGTTAACCCAGGGTTAATAGTGACATCCGCACAGGGTAAATGTTAACCCAGGGGTAAAATTAACCTCATCAAAGGGTTAAAATAATGTTAACCCAGGGTTAAAATTGACTTCATCTCAGGGTCAAAATAATGTTAGCCCAGGGTTAAATGTGACCTTCTCACAGGGTTAAACTAAATTGAACCCAGTTAAAAGTAACATCAGCACAGGGTTAATGTTAACAGGGGTAAAATTAACCTCATGAAAGGGTTAAAATAATGTTAGCCCATGGTTAAAATGGACTTCATCACAGGGTCAAAATAATGTTAACCCAGGGTTAAAATTAACTTCATCACAGGGTCAAAATAATGTTAACCCAGGGTTAAATGTAGTGCTAACCTCTAAGTATGAGTGAGAAGTGTTGTTTAACCCAGGGTTGAAAGTGACAACATCATGGTGTTAAAATAATGTTGACAAAGGGTTAAACGCAGTAATAGCAATACAAGTTTTTTATCTAAACCGTTAAATTCCATTTAAATCTAAATTCTGTTAGCCTGTTAGCTTGTCATTTGCGCCTACCGTTTCTTTTCTCTCTCGCTCTGTTTTTATTCTTTCTCGCTCTGTTTTTCACGAGTTCATCAAACAACTGTGGTAAGTCGGAATTCATTCAACAATCACATTGAGTAATGGCTTCTTCTCCAGTTATTGTCACTTGCACCGCTTGCCACATGTATAGTGTAGCTTTCTCTGTCAGCGGCGAGGGATTAACATGTGATAAATGTAGGGAAATGGTTAGGCTGACAGAGAAGATCTCAGAACTAGAGACACGCATCCAAAATTTAATTGAGGATAGTAAGAATGTGAGGGCCTTAGATACGGCTTTGGATGCTACTATGTTCGGTTCTGGTTGCTGAGAAATTTGAAAATGCTGGCGAATGCTAAACGTAAATTCAGTAAGATTATTCACGTCGGCACTAATGATGTTTGACTTCGCCAGTCGGAGATGTGGACGAGGCTGTTTACATTGATATTTTACACAGTCGAACACAGTGTTGTGGGTAACGAATTACAAGTAACGCGAGTTACGTAATCAGATTACTTTTTTCAAGTAACTAGTAAAGTAACGCATTACTTTTTAATTTACAAGAGAATAGTAAGAGTTACTTTTTCAAATAAGTAACGGAAGTTACTTTTTTTTTTTCTTCAATTTATTGATTGACAGCTCTCCTGTCCCCATGTTGAGAGAAAACAGAAGATGTTACTGTAGTTCTAAAATAAATATGAATATACATTAATTCATCTCACTCACAAAAAAAAAAAAA